GACCTCCAAGCCACATGACTAAGCTATTAAGGAGTTTAGCACATAGCACTGATTCCTTATCTTAGCTGAGCACCATTCTGACATCGCACAGAATCCTCTGTAGTGCCCATTTACAGTCAGAACCCTCGTGGAGGGTTCAGCCGGAGGATTTTTGCTGACCAAGTTCGACTTAAATAAAAGCAAAAAATTTAAATGTATGCCGTGATATAGACGTCAGACGAAAGATGTCGTGGTTTGAAAATATTTGCACCAAAACTAGATTCAATATAAGCGAGAGGTTAAATAAATTACTTCAATATAAATATTACCTATTCAAAATTGCTTTGAAGAAACTTTATTTCCAAATTGCATGTAGAGGGGTTTCCACCTGATTTTAAAATTAAATTTAATTCGAATTAAGAGTATTTTAATAGAGATAATTTAACACTAGAGTGCACGTGCTCTTTTTTTACACCAATGCACGCTTGGCCTACTATAGTAGACCATTTTAAAATGTCAATAAATGTTTTCTTAGATAACATTTAAATGAAACTTATAGTTAAAAAATGTAGCTGAATCTATTACGTTTACGATCCCAAACTTAAATTTTTTCATAGCAGCTAGGAATCTGAAAAAATAAATAATTTAGTTATGTAACAGAAAAAATAGGAGAAATTTTGCTTCTTAGATCAATGTCTTAAAATTTCTCCTTATACCAATATTATTCAAAAAACTATCAGTTTTCGTAACATTGGATACCCACCACAGGCTGGTGATCAGGACAAATGCATTTGTTAAAAGTCTTGCACCACTTTTTGTGGTGGACTTAGAGCTCTGGTACAAAAGGTGAACTGACCAGCTAAAATTTGGTATTACATCGTGCTGTACTTCTTGAGATGCTCCTAAGAGCTTCCCTATTCCAAATTTTATTTGTTATAAAAGTGTTTCAATGGATGTACAGCGATTCAAAGCGGGTTTAAAAAAATCGAGGGAGTATTCTTGTAAAAAGTTATCCGTAAAATTTTTTTCAGTATTGACTTTCACTTGGTTGATTATGAGAGCTTCGATTGCAAATCGAAAAATATTTTAAGTGGCTATTGGCGGCATTTTCTAAGACCACTTATGCACCGCATATGCACTACTATGGTAGGCCCACGATTTTCGCGCCAATCCACAAAAAAGTGCATACGCGTGGAAGTCAAGCGCGGTACTCATTCGTCGACAAATTTAATGCAGAAGGCTTTCCTGGAATCGCACAGCTCTAACATACAAAACTGTCAAGGTATCAACAAAAATGTTGCCGTGGTCTACTATAGTAGGCCGCGCGTGTACTCCAGTGGTAAATATGAATCACAGTACAAATGTCAGCCGAAAAAGGTTTAACGAGGTTTTGGTTTAAAAATAATTTGAACAGAATTGCCACCTGTTCGAAAAGTCGAATTAAATCAAATTATGTGAAATATTGAAATATTACCGTCAAACAAACGAGTATTAAGAAATATTTCGTTTGAGAATTTATAGCATTAAAAAGGGTTTCCTGTGTAAAAAGTTAAACACAAATTACTTAATAAGTCAAATCAATTATTAAAGTATGGATATAAATTGACGTGGGTTAAAAATGTTTATTTTCTGGACTTTATTTAAGAGGGTTGCTATATGTTTTAGAAATGAAATTCAACTTATTTTAAAGGAATTAGATACACAATTTAAATATGTATCGTAATATGTGTGTCAGTCGAAAAAGGTTTACCAAGGTATTGGTTTTAAAATATTTTGAATAGGGTTGCCACCTGTTTTTAAATTAGAATTAGCATAAAGTTAATGAAATGTTAAAATATGAATATTTAGAATGTTAAAGGGGGTTGCCACCTGTTCAAAAAACTCAAGTTATTTAGTAAGTTAAAGCAATTATTAAAAATATGGGTATCAGATTAAATGGGTTTAAAAAGGCTTTATTTCTGAACTGTATTTAGGAGCGTTGCCAGCTGTTTCAGAGTTCTTAGCTAGGTAGGTAGGTTGTCGCGGTCGTCTATAAGACACACTTAGGCTAATGGCCCATTGTGATGCCGCATGTTGGGTCAGCAACTCCCAATCCCTCCTAAAACCATTTTGAACTTTGAACGAATTTTAGAAGATCCCTGATTTCGACGCATCTAAGGTCCTCCAAGTTGTCGAAGAATTGCCTACCGAGAGTGGAGAGTCTTCGTCTAGATAGAGCAGGGCATTGGCACAACAGGTGCACAATCGTTTCCTCCTCTTCTTCATCTTGACAACTTCTACAGAAGTCATGTGAGCGTAGGCCAAGTCGATAGGCGTGCTTGCCAATTAGGCAGTGTCCTGTTATGACGGATACTAATAATCTAATATTGGACTTATTTAGACTCAGTAGTAGGCCAGTGCGGTTGGCGCTGAGCACCGGCCATAATTGTTTGGCAGTTTTGCAGGTGATTTCGTCCTGCCACCTTTCGTTCGCTACTTTAGTGAGCCTCTCGGAGATAAGTAGCTTACAAGTTTGCAAGGGTATTCCTATTTCGTCATTTATATCCTCAAAAGGAAGTTTCGTGCCAAGTCGCGCCAGTTCGTCGGCCTTACAATTCCCCTCTATGCCGCAGTGTCCCGGAACCCATATTACCTTTGGGCGAAATGACTCAGCCATCTCGTTAAGAGATGCGCGGCATTTCATGGCTACCATGGAGGTTGTCGACTGCTTCGTGAGGGACTTTATTGCCGCCTGGCTGTCAGTGAAGATGTAGATATCAACTTGGGGTATCATATCACACTTTACCAGTTTCGTGGCCCTGTCGATTGCCATCAGTTCAGCCTGAAAAACGCTACAGTGGTCCGGGAGACGAAAGCTGAGGGAGATTCCCAGGTGATGGGAATATACCCCTCCTCCAACCCTTCCCTCGAGCTTTGAGCCATCTGTGTATACATGGATGGACTCTCCACTACTTACAACGTCATGCTTCCACTCTTCCCTTGAGGGTAGGAGGGTCGCGAACGCTGTAGCGGGTGCAGGTTCCGGAAGTGCATAGTCCACCAATCCGGGTAGCCCCGGAAACTCCGTTAATATTCTACCGTGACCATAACTGGTATTTGACCACTTATTTAGAATATTCATTCGAATTGCCGCGCCACTTGCGACTTGTTTGGCATGTAGGTCCACCGGAAGAAAATTCAGTAGGGCATACAGTGCCTTGGATGGTGTTGTTCTCATCGCACCAGTTATGAGTGTGGACGCAAGCCTTTGAACCTTGTCCATTTTTTTGAAGTTTACCCCTTTCCCAAGGGTGTTCCACCATACCACTATACCGTGATAGAGAATTGGCCTAACCACCGCCGTGTATAGCCAGTGTATTATTTTGGGTTCCATCCCCCATTTTTTCCCTATTGCTCTGCTGCAGGAATATAGTGCCACTGTTGCTTTGCGCACTCTATCTGCAACGTTGGGCCCCCAGTTTAGTTTCCTATCTACTATGAGACCTAGATATTTGGTCTCTTCCTTTATTGCGAGGGTGTTGCCCTCTAGAGTTATGTTCCCGAGATCAGGTATCTTATGCTTCCTGGTGAACAGCACAAGGTCTGTTTTTTCAGGATTCACTCCCAGTCCTCGCCTGTTACACCACAGGGATAGTTTGTTGAGGGATCTTTGGTTTAGATCTGTCAATGTTGAAAGATGTTTACCCGAGATAGCTATTACAATATCGTCGGCGTATGCAATTATCTGACCGCCAATGTCTTCAAGTTCCCGAAGAAGGCTGTCTACTGCTATATTCCACAGGAGCGGTGATATTACTCCCCCCTGGGGTGTACCCCTGACGGGGAACCTTTTTATTACTGATTCACCTAATCCTGCGCTTATTTCTCGGCCGATTAACATTCGTTCAATAAATGAGGTTAGTGAATTGCTTACTCCCAGATTTATCAGAGATGAGATAATCGCTGCAGGAGATACATTGTTGAAAGCACCCTCGATGTCCAGGAAGGCCGCGAGGGTGTATTCTTTGTAATAAAGTGATCTTTCAATTGTGTGCACTAAAGAATGGAGTGCTGTTTCGACTGATCTCCCTTTGTTGTAGGCATGCTGGGCTGCCGAAAGTTTGCTGCCCACCTTGTCTCTAATGTGCCCATCTATTAGTCTCTCTAGAGATTTCAACAGGAAAGACGACAGACTAATTGGTCTGAAGTCTTTTGGTCTCGTGTGTGTAGTTTTTCCTGCCTTGGGAATGAAAACTACTCTTACCTCCTCCCATTTGTGGGGTATATAATTCATTCGTAACACTGCTTCAAAGACTGGTACGAGTATGGGTGCAATCATTCCTGCTGTATGCTGTAGGTCAGCGGGAATAATGCCGTCTGGTCCCGGAGATTTAAACGGTTGGAAGCTGCTAATAGCATGCTTTATGTTCTCCTCGGTTATGATATTCGCTGGAATGTCATCATGGTTGCCTATGATTCGGGTATTTGTGACTCTACTGTGGAGGCAACCCGGAAAGTGCGTCTGTACAAGAAGCTCTAGAGTTTCTTCGCTGCTAGTTGTCCAATCACCATCCTCCTTGATGAGATAGCTAATATTGCTGGGACTCACAGATAGTATTTTGCGCAGTCTGCTGGCCTCCGAAGTAATTTCTATCTTCTGACAGAAGTTCCTCCATGAGGAGCGCTTAGCGTCTCTTATTGCATACTTAAATCGGCGTTGCCAGTCTTTAAATTCACTCCAAGAGTTGGATCTCTTAGCTTCATTAAATTTTGATCTGCATTCCCTTCTGAGGGTTGCAATTTCAGTGGACCACCATGGAGGTTTTGGTTTCCTACTTGTTGCCCTGATTGGGCAGGCTAATTTTGCTGCACGATGAAATGCTTTAGTTATATCGTCTACGACGTTATCAAGTTGATGTTCCGAGTTTATTTGATTTGTGAGGTCGGAAATATTATTAGAAAATATTGTTTCAAATTTTTTCCAATTTGTTTTTCTGCGGTTTAAGACCGCTTGTTGTTTTCTTACTGGTATGTATAGGTTATAAACGACGTACATGTGATCTGAAAAGGAGTTGTCTTTTGAGACTCTCCAGTCATTCAAGAGTTCTGCCCCCTGCTCATTGACACATGTAATGTCAAGGACCTCCCTTCTAACAGACGTCACAAAGGTAGGGGTATCACCTACGTTGCTAACCTGTAAGTTATTGCACATAATGAATTCGAATATCGACTCACCGCGTTCATTTGTATCTGAGCTGCCCCATATGTGATGATGGGCATTCGCGTCCGCTCCTATGACCATCGGAGTGCCGCGTCTAGAGGCCTCCATTACCGCGCTCCTTAAGGATTGTGGTGGAGGTAATGTTTCTGCGTCGTGGGCCATATATGTGGAAGCCAGCCAAATAGACATTCCGCCTGATTCCACTGCTATGATGACGTTGTCCGCATCGCTAAACTGTATCAAGAGAAATGCATTAATACACTTTTTTATCAATATGCACGACCTGGGTTTACCTTTGTCAGTTACATAGAACAGCTTATATCCCTTCATATTCAATCCACAAACCCGATCTTTTATGACCCAAGGCTCCTGGATGAGTGCGATCTCCTCTTCTCTTTCGGCGAGACGGAGGAGAAGTGCGGCTGAGGCCGCCTTGCAGTGGTGGAGATTAATCTGAACTATCCCCACCATCAGTTTCGCGTGCTGCTGCTGGACAGCCAACCACAGTCCGGTTGACGTCCTCTTCGTCAGAAAGGGGGAGGATATCCTCCCCTTCTCCTTCCACCATGGTGTCGGAAAAGTCGGAGTGGTCCCCCGCCCCCTCTTCTAGAGTCACCCTCTCGAAGAGTTCGCCGACCATTCCGGAGGTGGATGCCACTTCGTCGTCAGTAGCACTTTCCACTGCGCTCGCTTCGTCGGTAGGGTGTTGTTTCCCTGACACGTCCTGCCGATAAACATGGAGGTTCAAGGCTTGGAAGCCATAATTTATCCTCCAGTTTTGGTTGGCTAGCGGTTCTACTGATTCCTCGTTGAGGACTATTACCGCTAACCTTCGCTTGCCATCGATATCGCCTATCTTTGCTACCTTCCAGTCGTGGGTGGGTAGCTCGGGGTTGCCCATACGTATCCATTCCAGCACTTCCTGTGGGTCGGTGTGGAAGTCTGGAATCCAGGCCCTGGATCTGGGCCGATTGGGAATGTCTTCCCGCTTTATCGCCTCAAGGCGTGCACCCGGCCAGACCTCGCCTACGCGACTGATGGCCAGGGTGTATAGGTCGACGGATCTCTGGTCCGCGCACCTTGTTAATTTGACGCGGTTTTGGAACCAACCGGCGTCCGCACAACTGGGGGGTGGTCCTGGGTTTTCCCCTAGAACCTCCTTATAGACGGCCCAGAGTCGCCTGTTGACCAGGTCCCAGTTCTGTGGTGATATTGCACCATCAAGTGAGCTGCGGTCTATCACAGCCCTGGTAAATGTGTCCTTCGCCGCGTCCGCGAAGGATCTTTTCTGCAGCTCGTCCGCTGTTAAAAAGGCGGATACCCTTGTTCTCTTGGGTTCCGAGCTTAGCTCCCTAGAGGACTTCCGCTTGCCTTGAGCAGACTCTTGTTTGGCTTTCGCCTGGTGTTCAGCCATAAACTTTTCGGCCCAATTTCTTGAGTCCAGCTCTTCTGCGGTCAGTTCTTCTGGCTTCTTATCCCTCAGTCTCTCCAGGATTCTGAGGGCTGACCGTCTGGTACGATAGTACCTTTCTGATGCACTAATGTGCTTCTGGGGATGGCTACTGCCCATCGCTACATTAGTGCCAGAATGGCGCACCTCAGAGGCCGCTGGCTTAGCCATGCGGTCTGATGTCGCCGACGCCGCTTTAGGGATTGCACCTGTCGATGTTCCCTTGCCTCCTGGAGTGGCGGGGACGGCAGCAGGGCTAGCTTGTCTTGTGACAGGGCTGCCCTTGCCTCCCGAAGACCTATCTGCGAGGGTGGGTCTGCTACCAGCACCGGACGGATTAAAATCCTCGCTAGCTTGTCTAGGGACATGGCTAGACCGGTTGCCGGAAGGGGGCCTCGATGCCGTTGAGGCAGTCCCAGAGGGGACAGAGCGTATGCTCAGCCCTGGCTTGGCCACAGACTTTGCACCGCTGGCTTGCTTGGTCTTGTCCGAGGACAGACCGGACCTTCCTGACTGGGTGGGTCTACTTTTTTTGGGGGGTTCTCGGTTATCCGAGGCGGGTTTTTTGTTTTGGTTCATCTTTTTTCATAAACGTCCGCACTGCTCGACGTGGCGAGCGTGGCGGACTACGTATTTAGGGGGGGAGAAGGGAGACGTCGACCACAGCGGTCCCCTCCGCCGTGGCAAGGTCATTCTACCTCCTGAGGTGACCCGGTATCAGGAGAGCGCCGTTAGAATACAGCCGGATACCCCTGGCTGCAAACCATCCAATAGGCACGGTGACGCATAACACCCTGGATTAGGGGGGAAAGGATAGGGAAAGATGGGAGAGAAGGGTTGGTTAGGACGAGCGTGGGGGAATCGTCGGTACGGTCCTCTCCGTATGTATGATTGGAGGAACACGACGCCCACAGTTACGCAGACGGGTGGTCAACCAATCTCCATACGGAGCTTCCCTCTTGGTTCGTGCTGGTTTAAAGCCCCCCGAAGGAAGATTTAAACCACAACTTAAGCCTCATCCCCACTTCAAGGGGACCAACACGATGAAGGAGTTCTTAGCTAACGTATGCACAAATCCGAAGACGAAGATAGTGCGTGGACAAGCAGAACACGAAGAAGAATAATTTTACAGTGACGTAGGCTGATATAAAAAGTAATACAAATTTCTGCAGTATGAAAGAAAATAAAAATGAATCGAAGTAGTGATACACGTCTATTTATAAGCTGATGGTACATATGATTAAAGTTAATATCCATCTGCTTCTCTATTGCTAAGTATTACTATTTTGCAATTCATATTGATTTATTAAATTCAATTCAATAAAATCGAAATGAATATTTTATGTACCGTTTTTAGCTTGAATGGGATCTTAATAATATCACTTATTCTACATTTAAGCTTAGCGACTGTGGATCCAACACAGCCCACATGTCAAGACAAAGGTGCTGAACTGATCCTTTTTTTACCTTCCTTTTATTATTGATGCGCCTAAAAGATGCAGCGATTTCTATTCTCAAGTTATATACTTGATGACAGTACGAATGGCAATTATAATAAGGAGGTTCTAGTTTTTTAAACTATAATTTTTTAGTAGTCGCAAAATCCATTGCGCGCAATTCTACTTATTGTTGTTATTGTTTAGATGGTTGTTGTAAATTTAGGAGTTTGAAATTTTTAGTTTTTGCTTTCAATTCTCGATGGCTGCTTTTGCTAGTGTTGTTGCTGTTTGCGTTGCTGTTCAAGCCGTTGTGCTGCTTGTTATAATTGTTATTATTGATGTTACTACATATTATTATTGTTGTTTCCTTGATGTTGGTGTTGTTGGAGCTTTTATTACGCTTGTTGGCATCATATATTATTTGCTGCCACTGCTGCCACCTTCCCATACATACATAAAACTCCCATGAAGACATGACAAACTGTCGCGATGCAGGCGGCCAGCCGTTTCAGTCAACTGGCTTTCCGCTGCAAGCTAGTCACATATTTAGCTTCAGCCCGGATAGCTTGTGGGTGAGTCATCGCTTTTGCATTCAGCGTGCAGCTGCAACTGAACATTGCAAACTTTTTGAAACTTTTGTACGCAATGCATTGCAAAATGCCAGCGCCGCGCTGACTGTCCGCCTGGCAGTTGCTCGTTGGCTGCTGGTCTTGCGACGCGACCGCAACAAGACGTGGAGCAGCAAGCAAATAACCATCAACTCATTGATCAGCAAACGCATACTATACAAACCAAAATCAAACACACATACACACATTCCTGCTCAAGCGTGCATTGAGCCCAGGGCTCTTGTAGCTATTATGGGGCATTAGCCATTGCAGCAGTAAGCCAGACAGGCAACAAGTTTCTGCCAAAGTTCATGTGCCGCACAACCTCAGCTTCGCAGTTGGTGTTGGCTGCCTCCCTCCACTGCTTAAGTACTTACCTAGGCGCGTCTGTCTGCCTCCCAGATGTTTGGCCCAGCCGGCAAAGCGCCACCGCATACAACTGGGCTGTGTTATCACGTGTGCATGTGTATCACCAAAGACGGGTTGGCTGGAGGTTTTGGGGGCCTCAAAAGGAAGGTTTTCGAAGTGTGACATTTATTTTATTCGCCATTTGTGAATATCTGAGTAAACGTCATCCAAGGTATAAGTAATCTCCCAATGCGCTAGAATAAAACTTAACAAATTATTGAAATGCAATTTAATATCTATGTATGTATTTGCTCGGACAGTTAAGCACCGACCCAAGCAGGAGTAAATAGCATTATAACCTTTAACTATGGCAATTGACACTATTTCTCATCGTGATGGCCAATATTACGTTTTCAAAAGCGAAATAAAATCCATTTACGTTATTGCTCTTTCAAAATATATTGACAATACATATCCACGTTTAACATATGTATATACATACATATATACATCTACAGCTTGAAAAGTGTCGGCACCTTGTTGATAAATGAACCGGTGTTATTATAACGGTCATACAAGACAAATTGGAAATACATATTTATTTGAATGGACATATTTTAAACAAGTCACCCGTAAAGGTCTGTTTGAGCTCTTTTCCACCCTTCGCATTGAAAAACGCGATAATACTGTTGAGCACCAGGCTAGTCATTACGGTATCGAGGGTATCTGTCCGGGCGGTGTTGTCATCTAAGTTGGTCTTCTTTGAGGCTTTTAATGAAGGAGCCTTAGACTGGATGGTTACATTTTCGCAAGGAAAAACGAACATCGCTTAAGTAGAGCTGCATTCATTAGGGGAGCTGGACGTATCTTGGACCTTTTTGATTAAAAAATATATTATCAGGCGCTCATATTTTTGTTAAGTGTTTGACTGAACTTCTCCTCCAATATGTGGTGTGCCTTTATGTTCTAACCACTAGAAAATTGTTTTCCACCCAAAGTTGCGACCAAAACCGATGACAACCGCCCTAATGAAGAAAAAAAGGGTTTCTTAATAAATCTAAAAATTAACAAAATATTTCAGAAACTAAAATTCTTTCTCTTTTGTATAAATTCACAGCATTTTATTGTCCTTACATTAACTGTAAAAATGCCCGTTTGTAAATTTGCTAAAGCTGGTGCTAGTTAATTTGTGTGGTGGTGCGTTCAAAACTTCTACTTTCATGCACTTTGTGTGTTATTTGTTTGTTTTCTCTCTTTCTTGGCTTTAATTTTCTCTTTTCTGTCTTGCTTTGAATTTCCCTTGGGCGGAATTTGTCTCCTATCCCAAGCTTGAGGTATAATTTTCGAAACAAATTAGCCTCTCTCTCTTGAATTTGTCTCCTATCCCAAGCTTAAGGTATATTTTTCGAAACAAATTAGCCTCTCTTGGCCAGACGCGGACAGTAATTTTTATAAAATTGGCACTAAAATCTCTGTTGCGGGGACGCGAACCTCTTATCAATGGACACTAAGATCTCTCCTCATAACCAAGTCAAACACTAACCTCTATTGGGCGGTAGCTAGTTTTTATCGGCAGACAAAATAAGAGCATGAAAATATAAAGCCAGTCAATAAAGCTTGTTAGATGTAAACATACGAAATGAAAAGCGCACTCTGGGCATAAAAAGTAAACTAACGATAACGATGTTTAAACTGTAGTTAGTGCTAATCAGACATTGAGTAACCGGCCCTTAGTAGGATACAACCAGTGTTGCGAAAGATGGGGTTTTCAGCCCAAAATTGGTCGGATCAATTCATTTTGGTCGAAGGACTTAGCAACCCGAATGAAATTTATGCACATACAATACATTTCGTTCGGTTTGCTCAGCCCTTCGACCAAACTGAATTGATCCGACCAATCTTGGGCGGAAAACTCCATCTTTGGCAACACTGGTTGTAACCTACTAAGGGCCGGTAAGTCAATGTCTGATTAACACTAACTACAGGTTATATATCGATATCGTTAGGGGCTGTTTGAAAATGGTAGTTTTTAGGCGACTAAGGAACTACCGGAACTAAAACGTACTTTCGCACATCTTCAATGAATGTGGGAAATGGAACCTCAAAGTGTTGGGAACTCATCTATAAAAAATCTTTTCATTATCGATGCTGAAAATACCTTTTTTTTAAGTCGGTGAAGTAAATACGAAGCCAGCGGGACAAAATCTCTCTGCTCCTCGAAGTGGCATTAATAATAATAATAATAGATTGGCGCTTACACATATGTTAGTGTTTGGACGAGCTTCTCCTCCGATTTGTGGCGTGCGCCTTGATGTTGTCACACAAAGAGGAGGGACCTACAGTTCTACGCCGACTCCGAACGGCGATTGTATTTTTATGAGAAGCTGTTTTTCATGGCAGAAATACACTCGGAGGTTTGCCATTGCCTGCCGAGGGACGACCGCTGTTAAGAAAAAAACCTTTTTTCTTTATTTTTGCGATGTTGCTTTGACCAGGGTTTGAACCCAGGTGCTGCGGAGTGGAAGCGCGCACTGCTTACCACTACACCACAGCGGCCGACCGAAGTGGCATTACAAGCCAAAATCTTAATCTTATTAACCCTTCGCAAATATTTTTTCTCCTCGCCTATGTACATAACCATGTTTGCTTGCCCCAAGTGCGTTCTGGCTCCGTCACAGGAAGACCAGCCGTGCCAGTCGTAATATAGCTGGGCGTGTACGGCCGGCTGCCAACCGCCGCTGTCGCATGTGAACGCTTTGCATACTTATTTTAACTTTAATGCAGTTTTGTTTGATTCTTTACGATTTTTCATTTGTTTGTGAATTTGGTCGTAAACCAGAAAATTTTTTGCGCTATTACCCGCTTGCCCCAAAATGCCGCATTGACTGTGTGTGACTGGGCAGCGCACAGCAGGCGGCCAGCCAGTCAAGTCAGCAACATGCCAACAAACAAACTACCAGCCAACCTACCAAGTGGCCTAGTCGCCTAGGCATCCAAACAACCAAGCAGCAAGCTAGCCGTATGCGACGACACACAGACACGTGGAATAGATGAGATTTGAATACGAATTTCATAATCAATGACTGCCAGGCGGGTGCATGGAAAATGGATTAAGGAGCACATGACGCAATGACAAAAGACGCCAGTAAAAATGAGAAACAAAAAAAAGAAGAAAAATAAATAATAAAAATTATGGGCCCTTTAGCTTGGCGCACTCCTCATTGAATTATTGTCATACAACACACATTTGACATGACATTTCTTTGTTTGCATGGCGCTCACATCTAAGCGGCACATCTGTAATGTCACTTGGTATTGCTCCAGCGCCAACACCCACTCACCAACTGACTGATCGCACACATTCACACAGCCATGACGTGCGCTGTGTAGCTTATCGCCTTACTCGTGGTATATCGCACATCTGATT